TTTTTGAAATGAAGTGAATCGTTAGTGTGAATCAAATCTGATTGGCATTATCTCAATTTATTAATGGAAATTTCTCACCGAGAATTGGTTGAGGTAAAGGAAAGATCTCTTGACTACATAATTTATTAACCCTTTGCGCAATATCGCGAGCCAATTCTAAATGTTGAACATTGTCTTCACCGATTGGCACATGTGTCGATCTGAAAAGAAATAGAATTCGAATAAAAATGAATGTAGAAAATTTTTTTAAGACTTTATTCTATGATCTTTACTTGTAAAGTAGTATATCTGCAGCCTGTAATACGGGATATGCAAATAGTCCAAGGCACAACCCGGATGACGTGTCAACTTCTTCAATAGATTGTATATTTTTTTTCTGTTGACTTTTTGTCTGGAAAGTAGCAAAAAATGAGTAAAAAGAATTTTTTCTCCTATCCAATGGCAACAATCTTAATTCACATAAATATATAACCTTCCATTGAGTCATCCTAGACAACCATCCTACTGGTGTAATACAATTAAGTATCCATGCACATTCAGAATGTGCAGGTATCTAATTAATTGAATTAGTATAAATCAATGTTCTTCTTATCTTTAGAATTGACCTAATTTTAATTAATTACCTTTGATTGTTCAAATATTATACTTCTTGTTGGGTCGAGTCCACATGCTAACAATGAAATCGTCATATCTATTTTATTCTTTCTCAATTGTTTTGGATCTTGTGGAACAGTTAAAGCGTGTAAATCAACTATTGTATACAGCACTGTATTAGTCCCGAAATCGCTTTGCTGAAGAGAAACCCATTTCTCAAGAGCCCCAAAAAAATTTCCAATATGCGGAATTCCAGTTGGCTGTATGCCGGAAAATGTTACTTCTGGAAACTTTGAACTTCCAACTAGACTAGTTGCAGATCGCTAGGCGAGAAGTAAGGCAAATATGATTTGAAAGGCTTGTAAGACTAATGGTTACGAATAAATGGTAATACAATCAAATTTACCATTAACTGCCTTGATATCACACTCATGAAAGCATTTGCGGAAAAGCCACAATTAATTGGATACGCATTTAATACTGCACATTCATTATGTGATTTACACGTAAAATAATATACACCTCATTTTTTCAAAAAAATGCGATTGTATCTTTATCCTCGCGTGAGGCCAATTGTTAAACGCGTTTTCCTTCAGCGGGTTCTTCCTCAACGAGTTCTTCATACAAATAACAAGGAATGTTTTGTAGAAAACTTGGAAGGAGAGGATAAAGGTATTTACATGTTGGAAGTGATGTGTTTTAAACGTCTATTCAAATAATTAAATTCCTCTATTTAGGAATTTCTATTATAAATCTAAATCGTCCAAGTACCAAGAATGCTTTTTCTAAAAAACTTCTAACAGAATTTGAGGACGCTGTTGAGAAATTAAGAAATGGAACGTACGTATGAAGACAGTTTTAAATACTGTGAAATGCTTAATATATATTAAAAAACGTCTCTTTCTCCAGAGAATCACGTGTCGTTTTGTTAAGAAGCTTGGTAGATCGAGCATTCTGTTCGGGTGCAGATTTGAAGGTATAATAAGAAGTATGAAAAATTCGGGTATTCTGTTTTTGAGGTTCAATTCGTTTCAAAAAT